TTAATGACTACAAGAGAATCTTGATTACAATAAGATTCAGGTAGATTAAATCAGAAATCCTTTTGCATGTGCTGGTCCTAAAAATTATTTTGAACTGAGATAAGTACTTGTTGAAAAGTCCAGATTGTTAGCTAAGTAGCCATTTGAGGGAGTAAGGTTTTAAGAGTCAAAGAAGCAAAATGCACTCAACATTTCGATTAGTAATTTTATAATAGAGGACATCTTGTTTTGACAAGTGAAAATCTCTAGACCATAAAAAGGTTTTAGGTTCTAATCCCTTATCACTTTCGTATTTTTTAAATTTCACCCCTTCCTAACCAGAGAAAAAATAAGTGAAAATCTGCAGGACTCCTCTCGAATTTTAGGAATATACTATCAGCTCTATATTAAATAGACTGGTCACTGTGGCACCCCATCTGCTAAGCCGTTTTTGAAAATACAGTGATGGTGTCCAGTATGGTGGTTATGCTGTAGCCTGACAATGCCAACAAAATAAAAAAAAAAAGAAAGAATAAAATGAAGAAGTAAAAAAGAATAAGAAGAAAAAGAAAACCTAAGTGACCCTGAAACGTTTTGACAAAAAAAAGAAAAAAGAAAAGTGACACTGAAACGTGTCCCTCGACAACTAAACATTGTCGTGCCCGCATCAATTTTGATCAAATCATTATACAATAAATATAGTTGGGATTAAGCGTGAATTTGCTGATAATCATTTTTATAATGGAGTGTGCCTATATGGGAATGTGTGTGTGCCTATATATATATACACACACACACGTAAACTGGAATGTTAACAACATAAATAAATTACAAACTTCTTTTGAGATTTATCTTGATCATATGGGATTTTCTAATAACTCTATGGCGTCCCTTTTTTGTTATGCGACTATAGATTGATAAGTTAAAAAATAATCAAACTCGAAAAAAAGTTTTGATTAAAGTAAAACACAACTCTACTAGGCCTGTCAATAGGGCCATATGAGTCGGACTTTCGTAAGTTCAAATTCATTTCATTTAATTTGTAACACTTTTGGATTTCGAGCCGTGAGTTTCAGATTAATAAATGTGATGATCATATTCAACTTACAAAAAATTTGGGTTTTGAACCTTTTTCGGGTTTAACCCAATCTTACTTATTGCTCATCAATTTTCTTAATATAATTACTACAACTATTGAGTTGTAAAATTAATTTAATATTTACAAAACTATAACATTAAAACTAAACATGAACAAGTAATAGGTCTTAAAAAATACATAAACCAAGAATTTTTCAATAATATTTATATCTAATTCGTTCAAAATATATGAAAAATAGTAATAAAATATGCAGTCATAAGCCAATACATCTTCAAATGTTGGAACTTCTTCATAGCTTTGTGAGTTGAATCAAAACATGTTTGATGATTTGTGTTTTTAGACCAAAAAGAAATCAGCCAATATTATGTCAACACAAAAATTTACTTAACCAATAAGAAAAGTTAAAATTTTAGTTATGCATTACCAATATTGACTCTCAAGAAAGCTAATAGAAGAGTTTTCAAATGTATTTTTTGTGTTTTGTAATTTGTATATATTTAGTACTCAATAATAATATATTTGGATATATAATATCAAAATATAAATATTATATATATATCATTATATAAAGGTAATTTAAGGGTCAAACCTATATTAGGTTTGAGTCTAATGAACCCCAAACTCAGCTCATATTTTATTCGGACCTAATTTTTAATGTCAAGTTAAGACTGGCTCATTAAAAGGTCGAATTCATCGAGTTCTTTCTCGAGTCGAACTCAAGTTGGCCCGACCCCATTGACAGTCCTAAACTCTACAAGTGAAAATAAATCTACAAGGGTAACAACATAAATAAATCACAAACTTCTCTTGAGATTTATCTTGATCTTATGAGGTTTTGCTTATAACTCTATGGCGTCCCTTTTTTGTTATGCGACCCTAGATCGATAAGTTTAAAAATAATCAAATCCTAAAAAGTTTTGATTAAATAAAAGCACAACTCTACAAGGGTAACAACATAAATTATTCACAAACTTCTCTTGAGATTTATCTTGATTATCTTGATCATATGGAATTTTCTTATAACTCTATGACGTCCCTTCTTTGTTATGCGACTAGGGGTGGCAATGGGAAGGGGGTGGGGCGGGGGACACCTCCCCCAACCCCGCCCCGTTGCATTTTAATTACCCTCCCGCCCCCGTCTTGTCCCGCTTCCCTCGCGGGGTTAAAAAAATTTTATTATATAATTTCATTATAATTAAATTTGAGCAAATAATCAAGTACTAAAATATCAACACATCACCAAATTATTATTAATTGTAACTTTAATAATTGAAACTCATAAAAATAATTAAACAAAGGTTATTTGAATACAATCTAATATGATAAAACAAATATAACTAAAATAATCAAGTTTTCACTTTTGATACAAATACAATCACTAAATTATTATTGTATTTTTTTTAGAAAAAAGTGTAATTGTAGTAAGTGTTGTTAGGATTTAATATAAATATATTAATAAATTTAGTATAAATAATTAATAATTTTTATTAATAGACATGTATAATTAGTAGTAGAATTAATAATATTATTATATATATAATTATGTACATATATATATTTTCAAACGGGTGGTGGGGTGGGGGAGTATACCCCCGCCCTGTTTCTAAACGGGGGGGAAAAAATTCCCACCCGCCCCCCAATGACTCCCCGCGGGCACCCGCCCCCATTGTCATCCCTATATGCGACTTTAGATTGATAAGTTCAAAAATAATCAAACGCTAAAAAGTTTTGATTAAAGAAAAGCACAACTCTACAAGGGTAAATAAATCTACAAGGGTAACAACATAAATAAATCACAAACTTCTCTTGAGATTTATCTTTGTGATTTATTTTGATCATATGGAATTTTCTTATAATTCTATGACGTCCCTTTTTTGTTATGCGACTCTAGATTGATAAGTTAAAAAATAATCAAACCCCAAAAAAGTTTCGATTAAAGAAATGCACAACTCTACAAGGGTAATCATAATGATTCAAGAATTTATGGCCGCTAACAAAGTGGGAGGCAAAATCATTAATCGAATCGAACAATTATTACAAGTTCATTGAACTAAAGCACAGCAATTATGCAGCATTTTAAAAAAAAAATAAAATTGACCACCTTATAATAGCCAAACATGTATCTACGCCTATTTTAGTGTAGCCAAACATGTAACTACAGCTAAAAAGGCACCTGCATAGGATCAGAATATTTCTGAAAATACCTGCATTTATAAGCTGCCAAAATTGTCATCGTTGGCCATAAAAAGTCAGAGCCGCAAGTTGTGCCTGCGAGAAAAGAAGTAAAAGAAATGACTAAAAAATTTTAGTGCTTGAGAATTGCAGGTCAATTTTACCACTCAAACAAGGTTACATGTATTTGCGAAAATTAATAAGATTACATATGAATCAAACACGAAGTCAACACCAAACATCAAAATTAGAACATTTGATTTGACTTAACGCCGTATTGTCAACGCATGGATTATTACAAATCATCAATCATCACTAACGTTCATCAAGTCTAAAAGTCAATACTATTTAAGCATTTGGCTTGGGGTGGTCTATACAGGTAGTCACCAGACTAAGATCAATCTTTATTATTATTATTATTAACTTTGGGTTGATTCGGCATAAACGATATGGAAAAAATGAACTTCAAAAAAGAAATGATTAGGGAACTGTACAGTTAATTTGACGCCACTTGATCATTAATCTCCCAGGTAATAGGTTTGAATCATGCTAAAAAATGAAAAGAAAGAAAAATAGAGAGAATATGAAATTTCTGCCCTGTTTGGATGGTCATTTTCTGCCGGAAAATTGTATCGTTTTCCGTGATCACATTTTTCTATTACCTTTTTCTCTCACATACATTAAATTGCTACAGTAATTTTTCCATGAAAAATCATGGAAAATGCAATCCAAACGGGGTGACAAGATTGAAATTCTCAACTTTGTCGTGCTTCCACATGGCTGAAACATGACCTCTGTTGTCCTTCCCAAATAAATTTTTTTAGTTCTCCCCCCAAATAGTGGTTGTAGTGTCTTGATTAAATTACCACCAATACTTAATCGTTGGAGAAAATGTGCCGTTTTTAGAATCTACCATTTTTAAACTTTTACTGGGAAAGATGTGAGCTTTATGCCTTTGGCTACAATACACATGAAATCTTTCATGCTCATTAAAATTGAAAAAAAAGAGAGATTAAACTACAATAATTTTCACATGTTTGGATAGGTAAAATCTGCACAAAAATTATTTGTTTACATGAAAAACATATTTTTCAACATACATTTTTATCTTTATAATTATCTTTTCACTCACATATATTATATTATAAAAATGTTATAGTAATTATTTTAAATAATATTTTGAATAAACTCATCTGCAAACACGGGTGGAATCATTGCACTTTCCACGAAATTTCCCTGTTCTAGCTACTCCCACCAGTAGCTACTCCCACTAGTAGTTGGAATTATCATTTCCAACATCTTACAACATCACTAGTCATTTGCTGTTGGTGGACTAATCAAATCTCTGTAAACACTTGTACTAATTTTCTTGTTGTCCACCAAACTATTGGCATGTTTGGCAAATAAGTTTTTATCCAAATTTATTTGCTACAAGTTTTGTAATAACTTTACCTATAACAATCTTAAAAAAATTGTTAAAGTTTTTAAATTATACATTTCAAAATATCAAAAAATATACGTATTTCAAAATTTTTTTATAATTTTTACAGTAAATTACAGTAAAATTTTAGACATACACCTATAAAAATCATTTGCCAAACGGAGCCATATATGTTGCATCCAGTTAAGGCAAGAACAATACTATAACAAGAAAAACATCAAGAAAAATATGCCAACAATTCCAATAAACCGAATCTCATCTGTTTGTCCACTACCCCCTAGGCGTTGAATTCACAGAAGGTGGACCATCTTTTGTCCCTATTAGCAATCTTAGTAAATTGATATCCTTCTGTACTTTTGACAAAAAAAAAGATATCCTTCTGTACTGTAAATGGTGATGGCTATTTCTGCGTTGACAAATTAACTCTGAGTACGGATGTGGAGAAATGTTTATTCAGTCTGGGGCTGTATATCAATCAGCCTCTCCCATGCATAATTGTCCCAGTTACAAAAGTTGCTTTCAGACGGCTCTCTCTTTTGTCAATTTGCTAGAGGCTTTATCTTCTTCCCTTGTTCTTGGTTCTTATCCCTTATTTCTATTAATGGTCTTTGGGTTCTTCTAAGCTACCTCTTGATACAGATACAAATAGTAGAAGAAGTTCAATGCAAGTTTTCTTTATCCAAGCTTTGCTTTTTGCCACATGGTTACATCTTGATCAGTTTTAAATATGAGCAATTCTGCAAGACCAAGGATGAGATCCATGTTCAATTTGGCGTATGATAGAGGTTGAAAGCTCAAATCCCACCAAAACAACCACAGCCAAAATCATTTGTAACCGTACCATCTCTACCGTACGTACTTCTTTCTTGCACCGAACCCTCAAAAATTTCTTGGAAAAACTTGCAGGAAAAAGAAAAAAAGAAAGATCTTGTCATGAAGAGTAAACAGAAGAATTCATTCCTCAAGAGAACGATGCGTTCTCTAATATTTTCTCGAGATGGTCATACCAATAGTTCAGCCATGCCTATTGATGTTCTGCCGAAGAGCAAATCACATAACCGTGCAACAGCTTCCAGGGCTTCAATCAAAGATGATCAGAAGCGCAAAACAAAGGGCCAAGTAACTCCAGATGGTTGTTTTGCGGTGTACGTCGGGCCAGAGAAGCAAAAATTTGCGATCAAGATTGAATATGTTAATCACCCATTGTTCAAGATGTTACTTGAGGATGCTGAATCGGAATATGGTTTTAGCAGTGAAGGGCCTATTCTGCTTCCATGTGATGTGGACTTGTTTTACAAGATTTTGGCTGAGATGGATTGCGCAAAGGAGATTGATTATGGCTGCGGTCTTGCATACGGTTCGTGCAGTCCATTCAATCCAACTTGGCGTCTGGGAAGAAGTAGTGATGCGGCTAAGGGTTACGGTTCATATGGGGTTCTTACTCCAAACCGTTTGCTAAACTTGAATTATTGTTGAAAGTGTAGATGTGTTTAGATTAGTGTCACTCTCAGGTAGGGATTATCATATGCCTGTATAATGTACCAGCGTACTAGATACGGTGTTGTAACTTGCATGGTGCCGTGCCATCAATATAGGGAATAGGAATTTGGATGCTAGCGTGAGTTGTGTATGCTAGCCAGCGATCAAGGCACACACACTCGATATGGGGTGCAAATAATAATAGTTATTTGTAAAATTTTTCTTGTACATTAGGCCAAATATGTAATTTGGTTTTACACTAGGAAAGTTAATCTGTTAGTAAAAACTTTTTCAAAGTTTTTTTTTTTCCTCCCAAATATGTCGATCGGTTTTATATTATGAAAGCTAATTTGATGGAGAGTTTGTTGAGCACTAGAATTTATTTAGAATGTAAAGATAAGTAGTTATTTGGTAGTTACTCGCACTCAGGGATAGTAATCAACATACCTTCAGTTTCTCAAACTAAAAAGAGAAGGTCAGACTAAAAAATGAATTTCTGTTTTATACTATTGTTGAAAATGAGATCATTTTCCTTTTGGTAATCCCTGATAAATTATTTTCATATGTATATATAGACGTTTAAACTATCTCATAAATGATCATTGAATTATAGAGGTAACATAATTAACTTCCTAGCAATTTGCTACAGTCTTCAACTTTCTTCCGCTCCTAAGTGAATAATCCTGTCAAAGTAGTTTGCATTTTGGCCCACCCTTTGGTATTTGAGTTGTTAGTGGATGCAATGCATTTTTGTGTGAAATTCACTTTTCCAAGATTTACAAATAAAAATGCTAACCATTTAGCACTTAAAATCACTTGCTCTACAAACTCTTCACCCCAATTTGTTTGTGAAATCATATAATAGGATCCCCTCAACTCTTAACCCATGGATGTACATGTTCAGGGTTACCATTTTTTTTAAAATTTTTTTTGGGGTTTATAACATTAAACACCTCCATGATTTAGATTCAATTGTACTGAAATTAATTGCATGTCGCTTTGTCCCCAAGAGTAATGGTCAAGCATTATTGGTTAAAATTTTGGGTTGAAAATATGATAAAAAGTCTTACATGCAGTATAGTAATTAGTGCATGGACAACATACTTTTCTTTTTTTCTTTCCAATTTGTTATATTACTAGTTTCTCTCATATTCTATTTGTTAGTATTGCTTAGAATATATATATATCTATATATTGTAAATCACTCTATGTCGTTCTCTTATTCTTTATAAAATAATTATTTATGTTAGTTTGTTAATTTCATTTTCAAAAGTTGATTCTCCATATAATTTCGTAACTGTATGATGTGTCAAAATTGTAATGTATAGGTTAACTAGTAACTAATATGTTCACTGGGGCATAAGTTATAAAGTAATTGATAATTAATGTCAATTTTTTATTTTTTCTTTGGATAATGTTGATTTCATTCACTAAGGTTCTTCTTAAAAGACTTGAAAAGAACATAAATTAAATTCTTTCTTTGAGTTTCACGTTCTTTTCTTTTCTTTTCTTTTCTCGAAAATAGATATCCTTCGATTGGAAGTTCAATTGAGAGCACATCTAATCAAGTAGCCAACTTAATTACATAGCTATGAATAATTTGTTTAACATAAAAATAACAATTATGTATAATACACAACAAATAAAATTAAGGTACAAAAAATATTGTAAATTTGATGATATTTATTGTGAATTGATAGTGCATCTCATAAACTTGGTCAATTTTATTAATTTTCTAATAAACTAGAACATAAAAAAGTAAACCAAGAAAATTCAAAAGCAAAACATTTCTCACTTCAATTTGTTAGAACTCTTAATATGTGTTCGTATCACTGGGAGATATCAGCATACCAATTAATCTAAAGGAGATGAATGAATCAATATATCTTTGAGGGGATGAATGGACACTCAATCACGTTGTTAATTTCATAATGAAACAGATTTCTGTGCAATTTTAACAAGTACCAAAAGGGAAGAAAATAGTAGCCGCCCAAATGAGAAACAAAAAAAAAAACGAATAAAAAGGATTAGGATGGATTGGAATTCCCATTTTACCCTCCTAATTTTGCATATTTACAATTAGAGGACCAATTTCGTTGGGTTCTGATAATTGTATTTATTTCTTAACCTTAAATAGGAAATAACCACTTAAGTGGACTTCTCAGCCATAATTGATCGACAAGTAACGGCGGCGCGCTCTATTAATCATCAATTAGCAATGGTAGTGATGCACACGATTTGAATTGAGTCATTGATCAACAAGTAATGGCACAAAAATAAAAATAAAAAATAGTAATAGTGGGAAAACTCTAAAAGCTTTCTCCTTACTTACAAGTGCTACATAGACTCTAATAATAGCTCCAAGTACTTCACTTTAACATGTTATTACATGAATATATTTTTTTGCACCACTGCCCATTTGGTCCAGTGGTCATCACCATTAAAGGTGATGCTGGAGGTCAGGGTTCAATCCTTGCCTCCCACAAATTTGCCACAATTTGTGACGGTCTTAATTGACCTTCATCGATGGAATCTGTACTCACATCGAACCCCCTCCCCTTCCCCTTAAATTAGACTAGATTAGGTTATAGGACATCTATCGTTTCGACAAAAAAAAAAAGAATATGTTTTTTTGCCCTCGCTTTTTGGCTAATTGCTCTGATTGTTGCCCAAAACAAAAAAGTCCGAACACGAATGTTGTTCTGATAATACAGTGGTATAAAATCATGCCTATCTGATGGTTGAGTCAGCTTGGTAGGCAAAAGAATTTTTTTTTTTTTTTAAAGTTTGGCTGGCGGGCTGACTTGCCCGGCAGCTATTGGAAATTTTGAAAAAAAAAATGTTGCAGGCTGTCCAGCTTAACTATTAAAAAAAATATATAGCCCGGCACCAGTGGAAATTTGCCTAGAAAGTTGCAGGCTGTCTCCAATCACTAAAATAACGTTTGCTATGGATGTAAAGAGCAATGAAATCATCAAGGCAAGAAATTATGAATCATAGATTAGCATATTGGTGAACCAGGGCACTATATTCTAAAAACTTATGCTGCCGGGCTGATTACGCCCGGTAGTCTTTTTGGTTAAAATTTTTTTAAAGTTGAAATTTAAGAAAAAGGTCCAGATAAATTTGCTAAATCAATTATTTTTATTTTACGTTAAACCCTAAAAAAAAGTTTTAGATAAAAAAAACCTCATTCAATTTACAAGAAGATGCATTTCCCAAATCTTTGAAAAATAATCGTTGAAATTATTATGTATAAATTTGGTTTTATATTTTTTATAAAATATATAGAAAATTGATATTTACCTAAATAAAATATCCAAATAAATTATTATTTGGCAGTGGATTGTTATAAGAATAAAGGTAAAAATAAATATGATAGTGGGTAGTTAAGTATAAAAAGTAATTTTTGATGTAAACTATAATTTTATAAATATAAACTTATTGTGCAATATAAAAATGAAAAGGCAACAAATAGAAAAGAAGAAAAATTTGATAACGTGAAATGGTGAAATATATTTGTACTTCACTAATTTCACCAATCTCAATTTCAAGGGGCAGCTGCCCTAAATGAACTAATGCAAGTTTTGCTTTGGTTGATATTGTCGCATGAGGATCAACTTATTTGATGTATCTTTGTTGTGTAAATTATCAAATTATTTATTTATCACATTTTCTGATAGTAAAAGTAATAGAGTCTGCCATTTTGTGCCAAGATGATCTACTAGCCAGACTCTTAATTGGCTTGAACGATCTAACTCAAGGATTTCAATATGTATTTGGATAAAATAAATTGTTGATAAAATTTTGTGTCTAATCTATAATTTGAGCGTGCATTTATTGTGCATGAATTCTTAAAAGAAAAGAAAAGAAAAGGAAAGGAGCAAGTGAACCCCAACTACGGCCAGCAAAAGTTTTTAATTAAATTGTTTCGAATTTTTTTTTCGACAATAATCTGAGCAATTAGTCCGCTTTTTTCTACTGCGTTACCCATAGCACATTACAATAATATTAATAAGAATAAACTTCTTTGCCGCTTGTTCGTGACCACTCCATCACCAGTAGCACTTTACCCTAGAAAAGGCAAATTTTCAATCTTCTCAACTCACCTCAGTAGCCATTGTTCTCATCCCCTGTCCCGTCTTGTCCAAAAAACTCCCAAAAATTTGACTTCCCATGCTCAGTAGCCATTATTGTTCTCAAACCCTTCAAAGTCCAAAAAACTCCCAAAAATTTGACTTCCCATGCTCTTGAAAGTGAAAGTGAATGGACCAACAAAGATTTTACGGATTTCATGGACTTTCTCTTAGATGTTAAAATCACCTGAAATTGGACAATAGGGGTTACAAGTCTAGATGTTATTAATTCTTTGAGGAAACAGTGTGCTGCTATAAGTTTAAATTTTGCGTGATAAATTCAGCGTGTCATTTAATCAATTCATATATTTTACTTTTAATTATAAAAGAACATTTTAACACGTTAAAATCTAAACTCATTAAATTTAAGTATTATATTAAATTATCAAATAAAACCTTAATTTAATTACTACTAGTGGTCATAATCATATTATTGGTTTTTCCTAAAAAAAAAGAAGAGAGAGAGAGAGAGAGAGAGAGGAGGGTCATATTGCTTTTAAGAGGTGTCTGATTAGACATTTGGGAAAAAAAAAAAAGATTTTGTTTTTTATTTGTCAGGAAGCAGTAATTGGCAAACAGGAAAGGGCACTGATTGACAGTGCCGCACTCATCAGTGATCACCAATGTCCATAAAAATTTCATCAATCTCAAAAGAAATCCAACGGCTAAGAATCCATCTCAGAGCACGGGTGAAACCGACCGACTTAACTCATCAGAATCTTTGAATCTCCCACTTTTCTAGTCTGACTCTAACTCACTTTTTTGTATTAATAATAAATACTACTAGTACTAGTTTGGTACTACTTTCCCACCCTTATTCAAAGGTCCGCTCTTTCACGGTTCTTATTATCGAGAAAAGCAGAGAAAAAGGTTTCCCCCAAAAAAGGCCATGGCCGAAAAGAAAATTTCCCCGAAAATTAAATCAGAAATTCTCGAAGAAATCTCGCCGAAGCCTTCGACGGAGGCGGTGGTTTATGGGCAGACGGCTTCCGTAATTGATCTCAGTAGTAGTAGTAGTGATTCAGATTCCGATGACTTGCCGCTTTCAGATGATGACGTGGCGGGAGACAATTCGAGGCCGAAGAAGAAGAAGAAGGTGGACGGGTCGACTGCGAATGTGAAATTGCCGCTAGGGTTTCTTGATCCTTTACCAACTAAGGAAACGAGGTTGTCTTC